AAGATGGACTTAGGCAGGCTCGGGTCCCGGATGAAGGGCGCGTAGGCGGCGTCGAAGACGATGACGCTGCCTTGCTCCCGGGCGTAGGAGACGAGGGCTTCCAGCTGGGGCCTGGTCGCCGCCACGCCGGTCGGGTTGTTGGGGGAGCAGAAGTAGATGACGTCCGGGCGCTGGGGGAGGGCGGCCAGGTCGGGGAAGAAGTCGTTGCCGGGGTTGCAGGGCATGTAGACGATGCCTGGAGGGGGAGGGAGGTGGGGGGAGCGCGTGAGCCACGAGGAATGAAGCCCGCAAGTCAGGCCTTCTGGACGTAGTTTGTCAGAATACAAGGGTGGCCGAAGCCTCGTGAGGAGGCTCAGCCACGCGCACCCCTCCCTGGCCCCCGACACCCTACCGTCGAACTGGCGACTCTGCTCGTTGATCAGGCCCGTCTGCCCCATGATCACCGCCGTGTCCACGTACACGGGATAGGACGGGTCCTGGACAGCCGTGACCACGTTCTTGCCGAACATGACCTGCAGCCGCCCTATGTCGCACTTAGCGCCGTCTGAGACGAAGACGTCGTCAGGATCGATCCGGTTCCCATACAGCGTGCTCGCGATCTTCTCCCGCAGGTCCTTCACGCCCTGGTCGGGTCCGTACCTGAGGTGACGGAGAACAAGGCAGACAGGGAGATAAGAGGGGGTAAGGGCGCCGAGAATCAAGTCTTCGGGTGCTCGCGAGGTGTTGACGCGGCCCTGATACGGGGGCAGCCCCGTGACCAGTGAATGCACTTCGCACCTATCGGGCCCTAGAGTCCCTCACACACACGCTCTTCGGCCCTAAGAACGAGAGGAGCATGACCAAAAACAGGGAAACCTACCCAGAATAGCCCGGCGGGGTGCCGAGCTTGGACGCCCCGTGCACGAGGCCGGAGAGGATGTGGGGAGGGATAGGCTGAGTGGTGTCGCCGATGCCCAGAGAGATAATTTTCGCTTCAGGGTTGGCCTCAAGGAATGCACTTCGTCGGCGGGCAATTTCCGGGAAGAGATAACTAGGTGTGGGAGAAAGAAAAAAAAGGCGCGAGGGGAAGGGTTCGGAGGAGGGGATGAGGGAGGTTGCAAGGAGGCAGACGCGATGTGAGCGGTACAAAGGAACGAACAGACAGGGCTGGTAAACCATGTCGGTTAGCTTAAGATCTATCAATAGGATTGATGCTTGTTGCGGTGACGAAAAGGATTATGGGACGAAAACTGTCTAACGAGCGTGAGTCACCCGATCGATCTTGAAGCGGACATGGACGGATGCCAACTAAGGGCCCTTCCGTCAGACCAAGGCACCTGTACGTACCCGCCCATCAATTTGCCGAAATTGGGATTGCGTTCAACTCCTGACATCTGCAATACCCGGTCGCGGACGCCGCATCTCGAGCGCACAGGCCGGGGGGGCGGGGTCAGGAAAGCCAGGGAGGAGGTGGCGCAGAGGGCGACCGCCAGGAGGGCTACTTGTCGCATCATTTGTCGAGTGGGACGAGATCTCCGGTCTATGTCAAAAACCAGGTATGGAGGCGGCTGAGTTATGGTGGACGCCTGAGCCGGCATAGTGTGGCTTTGAACAGAGATAACGTGGGGGCGTGGATAGGTTGAGGGGGTGGGTGGCGGCGGCTGCCTGGCTGAGCGAGTCTTCGACGCGGCACTTGGCTTTAAGGCGAGACGGACACAATGAACGATTGAGGAGAAGCGTCCTTTAACAACGGCATTCCATCTCTGATTCATGTACACCCAACGTAGTACAGGGCCCACGATAGGAAGTTGGTGGCTCTCGCGCCCTAGGACGTGGCTGCTTTTCGTTGCTTAAACTAAAATCACTCTCACAACCAGAGCGTCAACCATGGTCCGCTTCGCTCCTGCAGCGTGCCGCGCACCCTGGCATAATCACAATGCAGCCCGGCATCTTTATAACCGTCTTCTGTCGTCCTCTCCATCATTGCAGTACGTTGGCACGTTTTTGGGTCCCGTCTGCTCTTGCGTATACCCCTTTTGTGCCGGAACGGGGAAGAAACAGAACCTTCTCATAATTCCATGTTCAACTGACGCCATCCTACAGGCGCGAGGCAGGACCTAGGCCGCATCTCCGCAAACGCCAAACAACCCTCTCGTCGATTCAATTGCCTCGCTTTTACCTCTCTTCCCGCTTCTCGTCCGCCTCCAGTATCCCTCCACCCAACCCCCACCCTCCTCCTGCCTCATTTCCTAACTTGTTCTCAACCGCTGCGGCCGTTCTTGGGACTCTGACGGCTGTTGATCTGCTCGGAAATGATGGCCGTATTACCATCCCGACGCTCTACTGGCTCATGGACCATCCAGGCATGGTACTGTTGCGCTCGCTCGATCCTGAGACCGCCCACGACTGGGCGATATGGGCCCTCAGCAAAGAATTGGTACCTGCCAACCACACCGGCCAGGAAGATCGAAGCCCACCCTCGCTGGAGGTCTCCCTGTGGGACGATGCGTGCGTATTTCCGAATCCGGTGGGCGTGGCGGCAGGCTTCGACAAGCACGCGCAGGCTGTGAAGGGGCTGCTGGGGCTGGGCTTGGGATTTGTCGAGGTAGGAAGCGTGACCCCAAGGCCTCAAGACGGGAACCCCAAGCCACGGATGTTTCGTTTGGAAGAGGATCGGGCCGTGATCAACCGGTACGGGTTCAACTCGCACGGCGTGGCCGCGGTCAAGCGGCGGCTGCAGGACTACTGGGAAGGGCGGCTCCGGGCCGACGAGGAGGGCAGGGAGAAGACTGACGAGGGGAGGAGGGGCCTCGTGGGTGTGAACGTGGGCAAGAACAAGACAACCGAAAGGGCGGAGGAGGACTACGTTCTTGGAGTGCGAGAGCTGGCTCCGTACGCGGACTACCTGGTGGTCAACGTCTCGAGCCCCAACACCCCGGGGCTGCGATCCCTGCAACGGAAGGGCGCCTTCCAGTCTCTGATCCAAGCCGTGCAACGGGAGCTGAAGGGTCCAAGCGGCCACGCGAGAGGATTCGCGACGAATGTGCGCGGTCGGCGGGTGCCTCTGCTCATCAAGGTGGCTCCGGATTTGACGGAGGAGGAGAAGAAGGACATCGCTGCCGTGGCCCTCGAGACTGGCATCGACGGCTTGATTGTCAGCAACACAACGGTCACTCGGCCACCAATCCTCCGCTCGCGGCACGCGGGAGAAACAGGCGGGTTGAGCGGCTCGCCACTCAAGGAGCTGGCGACACAGACCGTCCACGACTTTTACCGTCTGACGGGATACGGTCAATTGCCGATCATTGGGGTGGGAGGCATCGGCTCGGGACAGGATGCCTACGATAAAATACAGGCGGGGGCGTCGCTGGTGCAAGTACGAAAGATCCTGGATAAAGGGGAGGGAGCAGCGGGCAATGCGCGCGAAGCCTCTGTCTTGCGCCGTGTGATACCAGCTTTCAGTGTTTGACATCCCTCTCTATCCCTTTCGTTCGCTTCTAATTCATGGCCGCACAGGTCTACAGTATGCTTGTCTACGAAGGGCCTGGGGCGGTCAAACGCATCAATCGCGAGCTAGCTACCTTGTTAGAGAGGGACGGCTACACAAGGATCAGTGATGCCGTAGGGGCGGCGCATCGAAGGAGGCAAGAGGAGCCGCATATCTTAACCGTTGATCTGGTTGAGAAGGGGACCGAAAGGGTTGGGAAGAAAGACACGGGAAGGGGACTTTGGTGGGGTTGGTGGCGACAATCCTAAACAGAATGCGAAGCAGTTGCTGGCACAATATGCACTGTGCGATCCCAGCTTACAAGCGAATTGCAGGGTTGACAAACAACCAGATTGATTGGGAGTCTTTCTCTTATGTACTGATGTTTCATCGCATTTAAAGGCTACATGATTTGCATTTTTCCTCGTATTATGAGCGTGCAGTCGTGGAGCGCAGTGATTTGATTCTTTTTTCCATTTCCTCGGCATATTTTATATCTTGTTTTTATTACGATCTTGCAAGAGCTTTATTGGCTCTATTTGCCGTCCCATGCTGTGTAGGGACAAGGCCAGGGATGTTCCGCAAAGTAACATCGGTCCTCCGGATCGTCTAGTCCCTGTACAGACCAGCAGAGATAGGAGCAGCCGTGGCAAGCGGAGGGGGAGGAGTCGAGGGTGACGACTTGGTCCACTCGATTCCATTCCTGCGTGTTGGGCATGTCTGTCGAGTAGAAGGCCACGATGCCGCCCGTCGCCTCGTATTTGATCGCCGCATTCATGTCCGGATTCTGTGTTCCTGGACAACCTCGCACGGGCCAACAAAGACTCAAAGCCTGAGGAATGATGTCGCCGATGCCAAAGGGGACGGGGGCAGACGTGACCAGCCCGTTCCCAATGTACATGAAACTGCGGGCACGAAGATTGAGCAAGGCGTTGAATTGCTCTACGAATCCGGTGTCTCCTGCGGGCGGTGCGCCAAAGTTCCAGACCTCTACCGCCAGGTCGGGTCGACGGAGGGCTAGGATGGGGCTTACGAGTTGTATGTAAGCTGCGCCGAGGGAGTGACCAGCGAAGGAGAGTAAGTCGACAGTGGGGTGAGCATCGAGTCCCATTTCTATCTGCTGGGTCAGCGTCAGGGCCTCCGAGAAGAAGCCTTTATGCAAGCGTCCATTCAAACCGGAGGATGTGACGCCAGGGTCGGATGGATTTGCGTACTCGAAAGTCTCGTCCTGCACGAGGTTTGTCTTAAAAATGGTACCTCGCATAACTACCACTATGTGCGTGCCCTTTACGAAGCTCTGGCCAATGGGTGGATCTTTTGTTCCGTTGCTAGATGTAAAGATCAAACGTTGCGAATGATAACCCCGGGGGACGTACGGTGGGGGGTTGGCTGTGGCGGTCCCTGCCTGGACGCAGCGCTTGACGTATGTATAGAGGTTCAGGATGTTTCGGTAGTACCAATATGCGGTCTGGCGCTCCTTCTCGATAAGTGCCTGGTCTTCTATTTGGAAAGGAAGTGGGTGCCCGATGTCGGCCATGCGTACAGGCAGCGAGCTTTCATCGTCTTGCGCAGGTTCCTTCTCTGTCTCGTACATATTCTTGACGGTGGTAAAACCTCGAAGGATAGAGTCGTAATTCATATCTGCGCCTCTCTCAAGTATGCGCACCAGAGGGCAATACCCTGGGGCATCAATAATAGGCTCTGCGAATCCACAAGAAGGGAATAGCTTGTGTCTGCTGGGAGATCGATCTTGCACCCTTCGTGGATCAAGGACGATTTGTACGAGAGGGAAGAATGAGATACTCTCACCACCCAATGGTACGCCAAGAAGCCTGTTTTCTAGTCCTGGTCCAGCGACGCTCGAAATATGAAGAACATGTGGGGAATCTGAAAATTTTCGTTCTTTGCTGTGAGTGACGATAAAGCTATTGTTGATACGCGGAGTAGCAGTGTCATTAGTTCGCAGGAGTTGTCGCGATCTAACGAATTGCACTAGACCGATGAATTTTAGAAGCACCACTTTCCATCTCCGATAATCATGCTGCAAGAACATCCCTGTTGCGTAAGCGTAAGATAAAAAACCATTAATTACTTCACACCAGAGCTGGTGCTAAAAGAGACGCAAGAGGAAACATTGCCTAGAACTTGAAGACCCAGCATTACCTTAAACTTAGACCAAAGATAGACACAAGATTTGTACACTTAAAAGACTAAATGAATTAGCTATGTGATATTTTGTTGGCAACACATCCTCAGAGCCTGTTAAAAAGAAATATCATCCAGGACACAAATGTAAGGATTGACCCTGCGACCCAAGAAGTCGGAACAGAATACATCAAAGAGTAAACATATTGCCACATCCTGCGCACAGGCTGAGAAAAGTAGATATATAGGTTTGAACCTGCTCTATTGAGACGTGCTATATCAATCAGAGCTGAGTTGGGTAATCTCTAGGGCTCGCATGTCTCTATACACGCAATGGCTGGCGGGCTCGGACCAAGCGGGTTCAGACAAGGTCGGAGTAAATCAATTGACGCTACCGCAAAATTAAATTTTTGCAGAAGTAGACCGCTTTCACCTTACCTTTTCGATGTATACTAAGGTGGAATGAATTATCTTCTGTTTCATGTCGTAATGTTTGGAAATGCGAGGAGGCTGTACTAGCGAAGGAGTGCCAGGGACCCTGGCCCATCTTGCACTTCAAGTACCCTGCCAGGATGGTCAGCGAAGCAATCCGTCAAAGGCCTTCCAGTACCCGGCGACCGAGGTATCTGAAACTTCATTCACCATGGCGATCACAGCACTTATGGCTCATTCCATTTCACTTGTCTTCGTTAAAAAGGACGGACGAAATATTTGTGTACACGC